GCAGCCCCAAACGGTATCTGGGCCCTGCCAGATGATTGAATGATCACCTCAAAGGAGTTAATTTACACTTGGGTGAAACACCACCATGACATCACCCATGAAGGAAAGACTGCTATGGCCTACCATTATAATAATAATAATGAGTCATTATCATTATATCTCAGTTAACAGCAATCTGTGCAGCCATCAGCCAAAGATGCCAGACTTGGGCAAAGACTGAGGCCTCAACAGGCCCTTGACCTTCACCTGGAATCCAACATGTAGGACTGTCCCCTTTTGAGGACCTCCAAGTAGATTTCACTAAAATTAAGCCATGCCAGGGCTACAAATATTTGCTCGTCCTTGTCTGTACTTATTCTGGGGGGCCAGAGGCTTTCCCCACCAGAACTAAAAAGGCCTCTGAAGTATGTAGGGCACTGTTAAGAGAAATCATCCCCAGGTGTGGCTGTCCCTGACCATAGGCAGTGACAATGAGCCAACATTTGTGGCAGAAATGACCCAAAATTTAGCTAAAGAATTAAAGATTAAATGGAATCTTTGCACTGCTTGTAGACCTAGAGTTCTGGCAAAGTTGAACAGATGAACAGAACTCTGAGATCAATATTAACTAAATACTATTAAGAGACTCAGACATCTTGGGTGGACTTGCTCCCAATGGCCCTCCTGACAGTCAGAATATCACCAGGGCCCACTGGCTATAGTCCTTATTAAGTCCTATTTGGAAGAGGTCTGCCCTTAATAAAGGGCCTTCAGGGAGACTAATGCCAGTTAAGAAACATTTCCCTACAGGAGCAGCTTGTTCAATTAAGGAAGACTTTCTCCCAGATACATAAAAACATAGCAGAAAGGGCACCTCTTCCTACTGATACCCCTGCTCATACCCAAAACCCGGGTGACATGGTCTGAGTTAAAGACTGGGGGTTAAAAACCCCTTGGTCTCCCAGCTAGAAGGGCCCATATTTAATTATTTGACCACTACCACCTTGGTAAAAGTGACAGAGATCCATCCCTGGAATCATCACTCTACAATCAAGTGGGTTCATCCTGATAACTGCTGGAAGGCCTTCCCTGATGAGTTGGGTGCCTTGATGACCACCCTGAAGAGACAATGCATTCAAAGCCCTGCTCTCAAATTGATGCAAGGCTGAAGACTGACTGGACACCATACACTGGAACATCTGCCCTAAAACTCATTTATTGTTTTTCTGTTTGGTTTCTGGCCGCTTATCTTCTGTTAGTCTGTACGTTTGCCCTGGGACTCTGGGTTGTGACCCCAGAGGATTGGAGGATCCCTCAAAAGATTGCCTTTGTCCATCTCTACATCTGTGCAACCATTAGGATACCCACCCTCCAATATCTAAGATGATGTTCCATTGGATAATATGTCTAAGCCTCTTAGGAGTTTATGGAAAGGGAGGATATTGGGAGATCCAAGTCCAGCTGGGTGACACTCTAAATATCCTCAACTGTACTAGATGGGACCCCCATCAACCCAATGTGTCTTTGTACTTTAATGCCTGCTCCAATAATGGGACCAACAGTTATTACACAGGATGTGTTGACCTGAGTTGGGAGTGGACTTACCAAACCAACAGTAAGTATGCTTGTCAAGGTTGGCTCAGTATGTGGCTCAGTATGTCACTCACCCTTTCACAACAGGTGGTCAAAATGATATATGTAGCAACATTCAAAGCTGGTGCTGTGGTGTCTAGAAATGTGCTAATGTATACCAGCCTGGAAGAGAAGGACAGTGGGGTGTAATGGTCTGGAGAAACTCTCCTTACAATGGGAAACCACCCCTCACTCAGTCTGTAGCCCCCTCAGACTGCAAGAAGGGTACCTGTAACCCTGTTCAGAATCACATATATAACCCCAATGACACTGTCTGGACAATGGGACGCTCCAATAATGGGATGGCACAAGTAAAGATCCTGCAATGTTAGTTCACATTCAAATGGTTTTTATTCCCACTATTTGAGTCCCCACCTCCAAAGTCTTTACAAATTTCTCACTAGCTTCAGATCTGTTACAATTGGCTAATGGGACTCATGCTGTTCTCCAGCAGGTCAATGCCACTCTGGGAAAAGACTGTTGGCTCAGTATGTGGCTCAGTATGTCACTCACCGCTCTCACATACTGGGCTTTAGGGTTAACTCCAAATGCTTTCTGGTTGCATCTTACTCAGTCCCCAGCAATCCCACTTTAGGCTTCCCCAACTCAGATAGTGGGACACTCCACTTGCACCCTGGGAAATAAGAATTTTCCAGATGCATCAACTGTGTCTCCATAATGTGACCCAGCACCTCACTTCAGGCAAATAATGGAACCTTCTTTGTGTGCTTCAAATGGGGTCTACCATGGGTTTTCCCCATAACACATGAGTCTCTGTGGCATTGCCTTCCTGGTCCCAGACCTAAATATTTACCTCTGTGACTGGAGCCCTCTGGCTTGCCCTGAATCTTGTCAGAAATGGGACCCTATGTTCCTGTCCAACCTGGCTAACACAGCAATCGCAGGTGGCCTAGCTATGGGCCAAACAGCCCTTGGGTTGGGACAGAGCCAGTATAAACAACTGACTGATCAAATATGAGACTTCAAAAGCATTCAAAACTCTACTGACATGCTCAAGGAACAAACTGATTCTTTAGCCAGGGTTGTCTGACAAAATCAGAGGGCTTCAGACCTCCTGACAGCTTAGCATGGGGGATCCTGTCTTTTCCTAGAGGAGGAATGTTGCTACGATGCTAACAAGTCAGAAATAATCAAAGAAAACTCCTACCAGCTGCCAAAACACCTCTAACAGAGGATAAAAAATAAATTGGGTGTTTCTTCTTGGTGGAGTTCCCTAGACATTTTCCCTTCATGGGCAGGAGCCTTACTTGGGCCTTTAATGGCCTTGCTGATGGTCCATTTCCTGGGTCCCTGTGTGATTCACATCCTACCCTGGCTTCTGTCTGAATGCTTTGAGGCCATATGTCGCCAGCTCCTCCTAAAAACTGCTCCCTCTTACCAACTTCTTAAAGCTGAGGAAGAAGGACCTTCCCCATGGGGTGGGGGAAACAGGAGAGAAATGTAAGGAAAATAAAGGTAATGACAATTCTTAAAACTATAACTTCACAGTTGGGCAGTCAGACTTGGCTGACCTTGAGTAAGCAGCTGCAACCCAGAAATAATTGACTCAGGTCTATCTGGCCAGCTGCACAATGGCGTGTACACATATTTTGTTTTTCTAAACTGTTTTAAAGACTGTCTACCCGTGACACAGGCTAGTCCTGTCAAGGTCACACTAAATCTTGTCTGCTTGCCTGGCCTCTAACACGGCCCCTCATCTTCTTGCCGCATGATAAACGACCACCTCCAATGAAACCTACCCCCAACACTTCTGCTTGACAATGTAGGACAAAATGTATACAACCAATTATACACTAACCCATTATCGACTCTGTACGTCCTGCTTACAAAAAGTACGTAAGTTGCTGCTTTACTTTAAGCTGCTACTGATATATTAGGGGAGCGATCCTCCCATCTGCCTGCCAGCGTAAATAAAAGTTGCCTTCCAAAATCCTTGGTGCGAAGCATTTTCCACCTGGTCTGTTACAGTTTTCTACAACACTGTAACATTTCACAGATGGGACACTTGAGACTGGGAGCACATGCGTGGGCGAGCTTAGCACTGTCATGTCACAGCCCACTGTTAGGCAGTCTCTGAGATACAAAACATTTAAGAACAATTAAAATACATAGGAGCCGCTCCTTAATGATGGATGACTCAGTCTAGCAATGCAATCTCAGTAAATCCTTACATCCTTCTGAGGGAATCTGTGTTATTTTTCTATACTTATAAATAAGGAACCCGAGGCCACAAGAGGGAAAGTTAACTAGACCAGTTTTGAGTCTGGTCGGCTTGAAGACCAATACTACACCCAGGGTCCCTCTCTCAGAAGGTCTCTAGGCCATTGGCAAAACGCTGAAGAAGTATCATTTACTGAGAGCTACGTGCCAATTGCTACACTAGGCACTTTACATTCTCGCTGCATCTTCAAAACAACTCTATGAAGTGACTATTGCTTAAGTCCCTATTTTATAGATAAGAAAACCGAGGCACTGAGAGACTGAGTCAATTGCCCAAGGTCACACAGCTGGTAAATGACGGAACCTAAACTGGAATCTGAGTCTATCTGCCTCCCAAACCAAAGCGTTTAACAAAATAACCTTAATTAACAGCACCTCGCCCGCGCTGAGTGCTAACCATGGACTCGCTCAACTAACCGTCACCCTATGGTCACCCTATGTAATCGATAATGCCTTTGCTTCATTCCTCCAGGAGCTAACAATAACGCAAACACGTAGTAAGTACTCTGTATGTGGCAAATGCTTTATTCGCTGGATCTCAACATCTCCACATTATTCCCAGCAAAAGATATTCTCCTTCCCCGTTTTACCGAAGGGAAAATTGTGCTTCGGCGCAATTTCCCTAGACCGGTGCTCTCGAACGGCAGAGCCGGGACGTGCACCCGCCGCTCCCGGACTCCAAGCTGTTCCCCATCGGCGCTGGGTTGCACGTCTGGAAAGTTGAGCCATGCGGGCACGCGTCCCGCCGGGTCCGGAGGGCGTGAGTCTCGGCGCCGCCGCCCCCCACAGCCGGTGCCCACACCCCGCCGTCCGCCCGCACTGACCCTCGGGATCCAAGCAGCTACCGATTCTCCGACACTTTCGCGCGAGGCGGCGCCTGCACCGGAAGCCACATACCTGGGCGCCCTAGCTGCCTGCCCCCGTCGCTGGAGACTCCGCCAGCTCCAGCGGCCCGAATGACTTCCAGGCTGCCCACTCACAAGCCGCTTCGCGCGAGGCCTCCTGGGAATAGTAGTTTCGTCCTGATAGGCTGCGAGCGGAAGAGCCTGGCGCGCGGGGGCTGCCGGGAGCCGTAGGGGGCACTCATTGCGTCGGCGCAGCTCCAGTCTCCAAAGCAGTTGGAGGGTGAGAAACACAGGCTTGTTTCGTGCCAACTCCAGGCTACAAGCCGCGCTACTTACCGTTTCGCCTCTCTCACAGCCCCGAGTGCCTCTTCCCTTCACTCGGCAGGGTATGTTCTTTCCTTTCCTCAAGGCACCAGTCACTTACCTGGGGAGCGCTAGCCTCAAGAAGGGTGGAAGAAGCTAAGCTTTGCGCTACACTCCCGATAGAGGGGGCAGCGGAGGAGGAGGATGCGTGCTTACGCACGCGCTCGTCGGCCGAACGCGGGCCCAGTCTACGACGGGCCCCCACGGGACTTTTTTTTTTTTTAAGCATTCGAACAGGTGCTCTGATTGGCGCTGGTTCTTCTGTGGAAGCACGCGCCCACTCCCGTCCCTATGGTTACTGTCTGGACGCCGCGTTTCCCGGATACTCGCTCTGTTGGCGCTTGCGCAGCATCGGCGAGGTAGCTTTTCCGAAGCTGTTTCGAGGTGTGTTCGCCCACGTAGTAGTTCCTGGGTATCGCCGTACCGCCCCTTGTCCGGAGCTCTGTCGCAGGTAACAGGCGCAGCTCCTGCTTTAAAGAGGTGGATACAGCTGACTTCCCCACGCGGGTACCTGAATCTATGTGGTCTTTTTCCCCCTGCCTTGGCTGTTCCAGAGCTCTGCGCCCGCGGCTGCCCCGAAGACTTCATCTTTCGTTCATTCACTGGTGGCCCATTGTGAAAGTAGTGTTTGAGTACCTACAGCCTCGGAAATTTTGTCCAAATTTAGCTCACCTGCTGGCCTAATCAGACTTGGAACGCTTCTTTTTAAATTATAGTGCCACTCCTACTCCATAAAGGCTGTTGAGGGAATTGACTTGAAAATAGCCTTATTTTGGGGGCTGGGGATATAGCTCAGTGGCATAAGCGCCTGCCTGGCAAGCATTAAGGTCCTGAGTTCGACTCCCGGTTTTAAAAAAAAAAAAAAAGCCTTATTTTCAAGAAGCCCCCTCACTACCTTCCTGATTCAGGCTGCTGGGAGGAAAATGCTTCGTACTGCTTGAATCTGGGAAGCATCTATTTTTTCTTCTGGGAGAGGGCAGGCCATTCGTTTGCCCACTCATTCAACAGAAAGGTGTTAAGCACCTAATCCATGTCAGGTTGAGTGATTACAGGGGACACGGGAGAAACCCAGACAGAGGGAGGCTCTGAAGAGTCACCTTCAGGAGAGACCTGCTACCCTCTTGGTCCAATAGGGGTATCATGCGAGGACCAGACAGTAACAATATCAAGCAGTACTATAGAATTACAGTGCAAGCTGCAATGCAATTTTAAATTTACATAAAACAGGTGAAATTCATTTTAATAACTTATTTAGCCCAAATGTATCCAAAATACTATTCCAAGCTATACTTAATGGAGACATACTTTTGTTGCTTAGTTTTATAATTTAAATTAAATTAAATTACAACTGTATAGGGAACCAACAAAGATATTTATTTGTACAAGAGTCATACTAGTAAAAGGTTGGAAACTGCCCAATGTCTCAAAGTTTGGATAAATAATAGTTCAGCAACACAGTAGAATATGCTGAAGCTGGCAACTGCTGGAAAATAAAGCTCAGCTATAGGTATTAACGAGTTAATCTCTAGATATACTAAGAAAGAAAATGTAGCCAGCCATAGTGGCTCCCACTTTAATCTCAGCACTTTGCGAGACTGAGGCAGTAAGACTGCAAGTTCAAGTCCCACCAGGATAACTTAATCAGACTCTGTCTCAAAAAATTTTTTTTAAAAATGCATTTCAGTGGTAGAGTGCCCTGGGTTCAATCCCCAGTACCACAAAAGACAGAGAAAGAGACAGAGAGAGACAGAGGAAAAGAATAAAGAACTCATTTACATATATGCTTGTATATGTACAGAATACCTGAGCAGGAAAGACGACCAGTGTCACTTCTGGAAAGGGGAAACAGGAAAGGTGATAATGTGTGAAAAGTGACTTTCTTTTCCTTAAATGCCACTCAGTACGCTTTAAATATTTTTAACCATGTCCATATTTAAGTTATTTAAGGGAGTGGTAAGCTAAATCACAGAAGCACCATAATTATTAAATAAAAATATATGTAAACTGCCTAGTTACCATTGTATAGCCTTGTCAGTCCTGGATGCTATCGTTTCTCCCAGGGCTCCTGAGTAACTCCTCAGCCCAAAAGAAACTAGCCTACCTTGTTAACATGTATGTATTTGTCAGCCTAGAAAATTGTTTCTTTCCATAAGAAACATTAAGTGCATTCCAGCCCCAGCCCTAACTGTGAAGCTACTTAAAGACTACAGTAGCACTCTCAGGCCCCAGAGAGGAACTTGGGTCCCTCTAATCAGTTATGTCAAAGAAACCAAATAAGCCACAGTTGCCTCTCTTTTTATTTTTCTTTCTTTTTTGGTTTTAGCATGGTAGTGGAGATTGAACCCAGCCCAATTTTTATTTTTATTTTGAAATAAGGTATTCCTAAGTCACTAACTTGCCCAGCCATGCACCACCAAATGTGGTGCCCCTGGCTTTATAATCAGTTAATCAGATCCTTCTGATAACAGCTGGTCTTTTTGTACCCCCATCCCAAATGTGAGGCCTACCTGTAAGCCTGTATAATCCATGCAGAGCCCTTTCTCAAAGTATAGAGTACACATCACCTTTGGTATACTCAGGTGTTGTTATATGTATTCATAGTACTTTCTACTTTTCTCTTACAACTTAATCTCTAACACTGGACATGGTAGTGCACACCTATAGTGCACCCAGCTAGTCAGGAGGCTAAGGTAGGAAGATCACCTGACCTCACAAATTTGAGACAAGCCCAGGAAACTAAGTGAAAAATCATCTCAAAAGAATTGAAATTACAAAAATTTAGAAGCCTGGAACAGTAGTACATATCTGTAATCCCAGCCCTCGGGGAGGCTGAGGCAGGAGGATGCCGAGCTCAAGGGCAGCCTGGTCAACTGAGCAAGACCCTGTCTCAAAAAATAAAAGGCTGGAGGTGTAGCTCAGTGTGAAGGCTCTGGATTCATTCCCTAACACAAGAAAACACTCACATGCACACACACACAAACACCACACACACACACACACACACACCTGAATCATTGAGGTAATTTGGTTTAAGAAAAAGTTGTGGAAAAATTCAAAGACTAATAACTCATCACTGAGAATTTCCCGTGTTTGTCAGTTTTATGACTCCTCTGATGTCTGCTTTCCTTGATATAAAGCAAGAACCCTGTCTGCCTTCTCTCATTGCCTAGACAACTGCACAGGGAGGGACCCAGAGGGAGCCCAGGGGCTCAACAGTAGTGTAGCGCAGCGCCCCCTAAAGCCAATTAGGTTTCAAGGCAGGGCAGGAAATCTGCTTTCCTTCACACTGTATCTTCCCCTAAATTGACCACTTGAATTTTCCCATTGGATAATTTTTGGATTATGGACATACTAAACAGTCAAAACCATTGGAATTCAGGCATCTGGAGTTCACCCCAAATTTGCTTTTAAGGACAGGTAGTAGGATTAGGTAGTGGAATGTGGGGAACATTGAGAGAGAGGCTTCTGGTGCAGAAACTTGTCTGCAAGGTGGGAGAGAGTAGCAAAACAAAAATAAACAACAGGAGGTTGTTTGTCACTCATCCCCTAGAAATGTGCTCCCAGTGGCTGCCACCACATGCTTTTTCTTTTTGTAGGCTGGTTAAAAAAAGTGGGTCCCCCCCCCAAATTTTTTTAAAAGGGCCAGGGATATGGCTCAGTGGCACAGCATCTGCCTGGCAAGCGTGAGGTCCTAAGTTCAATTCCTAGTACCAAAAAAAAATTAAAATAAAAAAAGAAGTGGAGGTACTGAGAACAATGGGAATTGTTGGCATTGACCATAAATTTGCTACAAATGGTGACTCTCAGCAGCTCTAGGGCCTAAGAAGGAGCCAGTGGCATGAACCCGAGCTGTGGGGCTGGCCCCCATGGCCACCCACTGATGTGTGTGATCTGAAGCAGATCCCACTGGCTCCTGAAAGGTGGTCCAAATGAGCAGCAAGCGCGGGATCAAAGGGGACAAAATGAAAAAGATAACGTAGGAGCACAGTGTACAGCCTGGGTATGGAAGGAGACGGGGTGCTGATGTCAGACACCAGTCCCCAGTTCTCACTGCTAGTGGATTTGGGGATCAGAGCGCTTCCTTAGCTAGCACTAGCGGAACCTCTTCCTCCTCTGACACAGAACCCAGACCTGTGGATTGGCTCTTAGTCTTGAATCTGCCCCTGTAGCCTCCAAAACACCCCTTTTTCTTCTCAGACTTCACGTTGCTGGCAGAAGGAAGACAACATCTGCCTCTTAGGGTTCTTTTGAGAACTAATGAAGTGATTAATATGGAAGATAATCTGTGGACTCTAACCCACCCTACACAGGCCAGATAAGTTTTGCTTGCAGTTTCCCCCAAATCTAGCCATCAAATCTCTGTGGCAACATTGAGCATAGGCTCAGCTACACCAGGGGATGGGTTCTGCTGACCTTGCTTTAGGAGACTCAGGCCACACTGACTGGGGGCTCCAGTGCTTCTCTGCACCCGCAGCCTTACACTGAAGTGTGTATAAGGTCAGCTAAAGTCCTAGGTGAAGCCCAGATTATTTAACTGGGTGTGGTGGCACACACCTGAAATCTCTGCACTTTGGGAAGCTGAGAGAGAAGGAGCCCAAGTTCCGGAACAGCATGGGCAACTTTAGCAACTTAATGAGACCCAGTCTCAAAACGGGGATTGGGGAGGAGTTGCTGGGGGTATAGCTCAATGCAAAACCTTGGGTTCAGTGTCCAGTACTAGAAAAAGAAATTGGTTTCCAATTAAAAAGTGGTGGAGTTTGGACAATAATCTGCATTTCTAACAAGTTCCCAGGTGATGCTGATGCTGCCAATCCAGGGACCCAACACACTGGGAACATCTACAGGCAGGGTTGGCCTCTGTTGCCCTCCTCTGGCCAGACAATAAACAGTTGTGTTTCCAAAGTAACTAAAATGTACAAAATAGGAAAGGAATGGAAATAGAGTGGTCACCAGCCTAAGAAGCAGGTTAGCATATAAAACCAGTACTGTAAGCATCATTGTTTGCTGTTTCAGACAATTCTGTAAGGGTTTTCATATGAATTATCCTGTTTGATCTATGCAGCAATCCAGTGGCAAAGGGAAGATTGGTGTTTTCATTTTACAAATGAGGAAAAATAATCCCATTATGGCACCACTAAGGCCAGACACTTGATAGAATGGGATTTTCATAAGATTTATTTAAAATTCAACCAGGAAAAAGGTTGTCCTCATGATGACCAAAAGAATGGAATGAGGAAGTAGACAACAAGTGGCACAATGTCTTCTATAAGTAAGCCATCTGATCCCACAAGCCTGGGGAAGCCTGTAAGACCACAGGCTGGGCCACGTGTGGTGGTGCATGTCTGTAATCCCAGCAATTAGGAGGCTGAAGCAGGAGGATCACTGGGAGTTTGAGGTCAGCATGGGCTACATAGTGAGTTCAAGGCCAGCCTGACCTACGTAGTAAGACCCTGTCTTCAAAAAAACAGAAGCAAAACAAAACAAAAAACCAAAACAAAAAACATCACACAAACAGAAAGGCTGGATCCTTTCTCCAGTTGTGCCAGCTGGGGCTGGTAGTCCTGGGTTTCCCTTTTCTCTATGTACTTCCTACTTCAGTAACCAGACTTGGATGTCAGCAGAATCATCTAGAACCTAAGGGGCGTTATTACAAGTTATGGTTTCCGGGTCTCACTTCTATGTAGGTCTAGGACAGGACCCAGGACTCGGCATTTGAAGATGCCCCTCCCCAAAAATCTTGGTGTGGGAGTACAAGGGGCCACACTCTGAAAACCTGCTAGTCCTCACAAAATGTTTTCTTTACATACCACAACCAGAAAGTACTATTGTTTGGTTGTCAGGATTTTCTTTTTTAGTCCCTCTCTAAGTTTCTGTTTCCCTCCCCAGTCCTTCATTTACCCTCTTCACGCTTCAGTTTTCTCATCTGTAAGGAGGGCAATACTTACGCCACAGGGCCATAGTGAGGATTAAATGAGAAGGTCTATCTTGTAATTCCTGACATATACAAGGTGTTCAGTACATGTGAGCTCATGGTTCTTACCTTCTGACTCCTACTTCCTCAAAACGTAACAGTAGTTAAGCAGCCCTCTTTTGGATTCCCACAGGTGTTTAAGAAACGGCCCTGAGGACCCAAGGAAAATCAAGGTGATGTCTTCCCCCAGACTCATCCCCACCTGGAAGGATTTTAGCTACCTCATAAATGACATCATACAAAAAAGCAAGGTAATGTATAAATATGCCATTGGTTGGCCTCTGTCTTACAATAATGAGCATTTTGGAAAAACCATAGATTGTCTATAAGTCTAAGAAACAAGCAGGACAAACCATCAAGACAGTTGTCGCTTTAGTAGAAAGTGGATCACCCATTTCCAAATAAGGCTATAGGCCTCTTACAAAGGTACTTTACAGCAGACAAACACATTGAAGCATTGTCAGAGGAACCAATGCTCTGGAAAGAGAGGGGTCCTAACACAGAAGGGAGAAGGCAGCAGAGGGAGCATTGGCCAACCTCAGTTTTGCTGTGGATGGCTCTGTGCAAATGGATCCTGGGTACATGTTTCATAGCACACCTTCTAGCACTATGGGTAATACATATTGTGTATGTGCTGTTCCTGTCAAACTTAATGACTAGACAATGTCCTAATGTCTTACTTGTGTGGTTTTAAGCTTTGATAACTTAGGGCTGCATTGACTTTTGGGAGATCCTGTTAGGGTGATATACTTAGTACCTTTTAGTCACAAGGGAGAATGTTAGAAGACAGATGTGCTGAATGTCATTTTGGGAAGAACATCATTTTTCCCTGTACCCCCACTATAAAACTGTCCATACATAGCCTCAGGGTTCTGGTTCCCGCACGTGTTGGGAGACTTGTCACAAGTGCAGAGATCCATTGGTGGTAAGCTGTGCATGTGTGGGTGTAATAAGAGTTAGGAGGTGTGGGAGGTGTGATTTGGGGAACTGCTTCAATCATGAATTTTGTGAGAATATATTTAGTGCATGTGTGCCCTGGCCTCTTAGTTTATGCTATGTCTCTCTCCAGGAATCTTTAGATGACTCAAAGAGTGAAACAGTTGTGTTAAGTGACCGGTCCCAGACACTATTCAAAGAATCTCGACATCCTCTAAATATGCCACTTATATGCCATTACTTCTGTGATGCCGACTTCTTTGCCTCCCTCTCCTGGATGACACCCCACACAAAAGAAATACAGGTAAAACTTTCTTTTCCTTTCTAGCCTACTTTCCATGGGCCAAAGCCATACAGCTCTCAAACCAAGCTGACAAAGGAATATGTACCCATTGAATAAATATTCCCTGGTGTCCTCCCACCATACTTTCCCCAATTACTGTCTCCACGTTGAGTACACCTGAGTTCCCCTAAAGGAGACTGAGGTTAAAAAAGGGTCCTATACTTTCTACCTAGTTCCAAGTCCCATCACTAGGAGGCAGAATCACTGTAGAGTCTTCCAGTTCCTCCTTAACAAAAGAACAGGGAAAAGTAGCTGAATATTTGGCCCTTTTCTCCTCTATTATCTTTTCTAGCAGTTTCTACCATATTCTTTTCCAGGCTATAGTGTGGACGAAGAGCAAATCTGAGGACATGGTTGAGAAGAGAGCTTTCTCCATGACCGAGCGACTGCCACCCATCCAGTCAATGGCGCACACAGGTTCCTTCCATATCCTTGTGGCCTACTGTGGTGACATGATCCTGCGCCTCTTCGGGGACCACTTTCGGGCGTTCAAACCCCTAGCCACTGTGCCCTGCCGCTTCAACATCAACTGTCTCTGCTATGACTCAGAAATGAAGATGCTTCTGTCTGGCACCCGGGGGTCAGTGGTCAGCTGGGTCATTGATCAAAGTGGCAAGGGCCTGCAGATGGCTCACACGATTTCCATGCCTGGTGATGAGCTTGTCCAGGACATCGTGCTGAATGGCCCCAACGGCTCCCTTCTAGCCCTGTGTGAGACTGTGGTGAGAGCCCTTGCGCGCCAGGGCCAGGGCAGGCTGGGAGAGGTGAAGAAGTTCATGTCCACCAGGAGTGGCTCCTCTATCACCTGCTGCTTCACCTCCTTGGATAAGGGTTTTCTCTATGCTGGAAACAAGGCTGGGGAAATCCAAGTATGGAACCTCAGTCACAGCCACGCCCTCCACAATTTCAAGGCGCACTCCTCATCTGTGGTTTGTATCCGCAGCCGGTCCGAGGCCAACACCCTGCTAACAGCCGGCCAGGAAGGCTTGATGAAGGAGTGGAACCTTACTTCAGGGACCCTGCTTCGGCGACTAGAACTTGGTGAGGAGCTGTACCGCCTCCAGTTTATTGATGACACTACCTTCTTCTGCCAAAGTACCCATACGTTTTCCTTGTACCGTCTACCCTGCTTCTATAATCTCTTCCACGTCTGTGGGTCTGCTCCCCAGCAGGTGCATCGGGTCTGCTGTGGCGATAACTGGTACAGGATCCTGTGCATTACAGAAGATGGCCTGTTGCGCTTTGTGTCCCCATTAACAGGGGATCTTCTGCTTTTCACCTGGCCCCTCTCCATCCTGGACGAGGCTGTGGATTGGGCCTATGACCCGCGTAAAGAGGAGCTCTTTGTGGCAACGGGCAGCACAGACGTGCTGGTGTTTGACACAACCCGCTGTCCTTGCCTAGCCAAATATCTTTTATGCACCTCACCAAATCCTCAGGACTTTGTACACTGCCTGGCTTACGGGCATTTCCACCTGGGGCGAGGGATAGAAGGACTGATATTCTCTGGGCACCAGAGTGGTATAATAAGAGTGCTTTCTCAGCATAGCTGTGCCCGAATAGAGAAATTCATACACTATGGGGCTGTACTGGCACTCTCTACGCTGTCTGCGAGGCTTCTGAGTGGCCGGGAAAACTCTTTGCTGTGTTCCTATGGGATGGATGACTATATACACTTATCAGAAGTTGTGCTTGATGGGAGCAAAGTACAACTGCAGCTCCTTGCAAGCATTCTCAGCAGCTGTCCCCTAAAACAACTGGTACTCTTGCCCAACTCTGTGGGTGCCATCACAGAAACCAACTGCCTGCGTCTCTGGAAGTTCCATGATTTTATGTCCTATGGGTCAGATGTAGGCTCAAAATTCATAGAGACCTTGCCTCTGCACCAGTGTACCATCACATCCTTTGACGTCTGCTTGTCTTTGAGTGTTTTTGTCACAGCTGGTAGTGATGGCTCTGTCCGGATCTGGGACTTCCACGGCAGACTCATAGCCAGGCTGGACTCATCACTGCACTTTGGCCCGCTCTGCTTTGCAAATGACAGGGGTGACCTGCTTGTGACTTTCAATCAGGGTCTTTATCTGGTATCCTGTTTAAAACTGCTTCCCCCTACCCTGCTTTCTCTCCTTTCCTTAAGGAGTATGACGGATGAAGTGCTAGAGGCCCCCAAGCCTTTCACGCCAAGCTTCTTTCTGTCTTTTGAGACTATGCTTTTGCCCAAGTATATGTACTTTGGTCAAGGGAAACAGGAATTAGTGGGTCTGCAGAGCACTGTCAATAAGCGAGCCATTGCCTTTGACCATTCTGTGCCACACGTCATAGAAGAAGATGAGGATGGGAGTCCTGTGTTACTGGGTACCGTCAAATTCAGAAAGGCGGAGCCGGTGAGCAAGCCTCCCCATCACCATTACGTGGTTCCTCCTCAGTTACAACTGACTTACTGGGATGGACTCAACCCTTACGAGATACTGAGATGCTACTTTGGTTATGGGCGGGAATGGTTCCTTGCCCCTGATTGCTACATCCCCAACTCAGTGATTCGTGCTCGTCTTTGGCCAGAGGGCAGCCCAATACATCTACAGTGCAACCTGCACCCACCCCAGCGGGAACTGGAATGGGAAATGTCTGAACCCTTTTTCTGGCACAGAAGGGTAAGAACTTTAAGTAAAGCACAAGAATATGAAGAGAAGGAGGATGACAGCTTCCTAGAAACGAGAAAATCCAAGGATGGAACCTACAGTGTCCTTATGGACTCAGCAAACCGCAGTTGGCTGGGCAGAAAAATGAGTGAAATAGCTATTAGTAACCTAGTTGAGACGATCCTCCATATTATGATTCATGCTTCCCCACTGAAGTACCAGCGCTGTATTGGCGCACTAGGGCAGATCTTTGCGTCTTACCAAGTGTCTCCATCCCTGCGCTCTGAGACTGCCCACCGTCTGCTGGATGATACAACCAATTCCAACCCACTGATCCGAGAGCTAGCCTGGGAAGGGCTGAAGCGTCTAGGAATGGTCACTCATCTCTTTGCCTTGCCTCTGGCCCAAGGGTTAATGGATAAGGATGAAAGAGTGAGGAATAAGGCCCTCGAAATCATACCTGAGACTGGAATCCACTCTAGGACCTCACTCTTAAACTTGATCCAGGGACAAGACACTTTCCAGGAGATCCAGTAAGTTGTGCTTTCCTCAGTTCTCTACCACCTGCTAATTTTCTTCTCCTTCTTCTCCATTTTTCCATTCTCTTTCTTCGTGATCTTCTCATCCTATTCACTGGGCCTCCTCAATCTTTCTTCTTTCATAGCCACTTTCTTTTCTCTTTTTGAGATGGGGTCTTGCTATGTTACCCAGATTAGGATCAAACTTGTGATCCTCCTGCCTCAACCTCCCAAGCACCTGGAATTACAGGTGCATACTTTGCTTCACAGTTTTTTTCAATTCCTAGACTATCCTTGATGATCCCTTGTCTACTCACTCTTTTCTCCATTTCTTTGCTATTACCTGCCTGTGTCTTGTCTTCCTTAAGTCCTATTTTCCTGCATCTCCCATACAAATCCCCCCAATAATTGCCATCTTGGCTTCTTAGAATTTTTTTTCTTCTTCTTGGCCATCATTTACCGCTACCTATGCTGTTCCTCTTGGCCTCTTTGCCAACCCCCCGCTTGTTCTACAGCAGTTCTTCCTTTCCTGTTCTCTCTCCGGTCCTTGATTCAACATAGTTTTTCTTCTCATTTGACTTTCATAGGCAAGAGATGATTGGGGACGAATCCCTGGACCACCTGCTGGGGATGCGGCCCACAGATCTGCAAATCCTTTTCACTCAGGTGCAGCAGCGATTGAATGAAAACTTGACCTTGTCACAAGAAGATAGAAAGCCCCAATTTTCTTTACATGTCCCAAGAGCTTCTATACCTATGTCCCCCTCCATACAACCTGCCACTGTTCCTGAAGAATCTGAAGTCAAGCGTAGCAAAGTCCAAAGACGGACCCGAGCAGGGGGCAAAAAGCATGGTATGTATGGAATGGTCTGATTCGTACCTCAGGGTCCCCAAGAAGTGGCTAACTAGTGCTAAAGGAGGTCAAGAGATACGGGGTGGGGGGGAAGAGTTTTAAGTGAAAAGATCTCATCATAGAAGAAATTCTCCTAGGAATGATCTATCCAAGTTTGGGAAGATCTCAAAAATTATTAAGGGAGGAACACTGGGAAAACATAAAGAATTAAAAGCCAGGCGTGGTGAAGCACACCTGTAATCCCAGCACTCTGAGTCAGGAGGATCATTGTGAGTTCAAGGCCAGCCTGAACTGCATAGTGAGACCCTGCCTCAAAAAGATTAAAAAAAAAATTAAAAAATTTTTTTCACTTCAAAAATTTTTATTAGGACATGTTTGTAGTAATGATTGGATTCATTCTAAGGAGTTGGTACATATCCATAAGAGAATGCTTCCTTTAAAAACAAAAAAGGCCACAGGCCTTTCTGTTGCTACTTCTTTCATGGAAGTTCACGTAGTTCATACCAGAATTGAGAGGAGCTAGCCTCCTATACTTTCCTGATCTCCATCTTCTGCTTTTCCCTGCAGCCCAAAAAATGTCACGAGGTCTCAGAAGGGTGAAAGAGGGAGACTCTAAACAGATGAGCACAGAGCCAGGCCCCATAGAGGTTGAGACCAAAGAAGAGAGTGAAACTGTGCCACTTGAGATGGAGGACACAACCTTCCATGCCAGATCTTCAACTGATAGTTTAAAGGGCCTTGAAGATGTTGAACTTTCCGAGATAGCTGTCCCAGAGAGTCACATTGCTCAGACCCTAAAGGTGTTAAAGAAAACGCATGATACAAGACACAAGAAAGCTACAGCTCAGAAACCAATAAAGAGGCATAAGAAAAGAAAAGAAGAAAAAGTTTTAATTGAGGAAGCTTTGCCTACTATAATAGAAGAACCAGTTAGGAAAAAGCCTGAACTTCAGAGGCGGGGTGCTTCTGGAGTGCCTGGCTATAGGGCTAGAGATGATACCTCATGGCGGAAGGCTGTATGTCGTCTTATGACCCTGAGGATAGCTGGTTCCCAAAAACAAATGGCAAAAGATCTAAACACTGAGTTAGTGACTACAGCTCAGGAGATTCTGGCAGATCGGCGCCCCAGCTGGGAACTCTTTCAGAAGATCTGCCCCGTGTTGAAGAAAGAAAGCAAGGATATGCTTGAGGACCTTGCCAAGGATGTAGCTGAGGACCTTGCCAAGGATGTAGCTGAGGACCTTGACAGGGATATAGTTTGGCCAGAGGAGAAACCAAGTTTTATCCATGAAGAAGCAATTAGAGAGGACATGGTTATCAGAGACAAGAAAGAGATACCGGTGGAGCAAGAAGAGCAAGTGCAAAAGGAAGAAAGGGACATGCAGGGCTTGCAGGAAGTGGTTCCAAAAAGAGGCAAGAAAAAGCAAGTTATTTTTTTAGAACCAAGTGACCTAACTAAGAAAAAACAAAAGTCAAAGGAGGAAGAAAAGAAATCCCCTAAGAAGATATCTAAGGAAGAGAGGAAAACAGTGCAGGAGAAAAGTAAAATAGGTAAAAAAGGGAGGAAAATGACCAAAAAGGAGGAGGAGGATACAAGCAAGGAAGGAGAGGAAATGACAAAAGCAGAAGAGGAAGTGATTGAAAAAGAAGAAAAATCATTTATTGCTGAAGTAATGCTGTCTTGGCAGGAGTGGAAAAACTCATGGGATCAGTGGAAACAGGCCCATGATGAGACAAGAATATCATGGGAAGAATGGAAGCAAGAATGGGAGAGAAGGCGTGTTGAGGCAGAGAAGGAACTACCCAAGACTAAAGAGAAGCTATTCTTAGAGGAGGGAATGCAGGAAGGGGAAAAAAGGAAGCTGAAATGGGATGAGTGGAGACAGCTCTGGGAAAATATATTGTCATCCAGGTCCAAGGATGAGAAAGAACTCATTCTAGAGGAAGACTTATTTAAAGAGTGGGAGGAAATATCTAAGGAATTGAAACAAGAAGGAGAAGGAGAAGAAGAGGAAGGAGAAGAAGAAGAATATGAAAAACATGAGCTGCTCACAGAAGAGCAAAGACAGATCCAGGAAGAGCACATAAAGGTCAGGAGTCAGAGAAAAGAAGCCCGACATAAAAGACAACAAGCCAAAGACGAGAAAAAACTAGCACAAGAAGAAGAGAAACTTGCACAAGAAGAGAGAAAGCTGGCTCAGGAAGAGAGAAAACTGGCCCAAGAATATGTGAAAATATCCCTGAAAGATGAGAAAATGGCCAAGGCAGAGAGTAAGTTTGCCCAGAAAGAGGAAAAATTGGCTCAGAGAGAGGAGGCACTAAGCCATAAAGTGGAGCGACTGGCCCACAAGAGAAAGAAATTGGCCAAGAAATTGGAGAAAACTGCCCACGAAGAAGAGAAACTAGCAAAGAAAAAAGAGAAAGCAATTGTGGTAAAAAAAATATTGGCTGAGAAAGCAGAAACATTGAAACAGAAGGAACAAAGTCTAGAATGGCAAGAAAATGAGCTGGCTGAGGAACTAGAGGAGCTGGAAAGGAACATGAAAGACCTGGCTTCAAAAGAAGTTGAGCTGAACCAGGAACAAGAGAGACTGGTTAAGGAAAAGGAGGAACTGGCTGAGGAAGAGAAGATACTGGCCTCGCAAGAGGAGAATCTGGCTAAGAAAGAGAAATCACTGGCCCAGGAAGAAGAGCTGCTGGTGCAGGAAGAAGAGAATCTGGCTCAGGACAAGGAAAAAAACCCCCAGGAAGTAAGAAGATTGGTTCAGAAAAGGCAGAAACTGACAGAGAACAAAGAGAAATTGGCCCAGGAAAGGGAAAAACTGGTTCAGAAGAGGAAAGAACTCACACAGAAGAAGGAGAGACTGGCCCAACAGGAAGAGAATCTGGCTCAGAAGTGGAAGAATTTGGCTCAGGAGAAGGAAAAACTGGCTCAGAGGAAAGAGCATCTCCATCATATCAAAGAAGAACTCCTGCAGGAGAGAGAGCAATTAGCTCAGGCAAAGAAGAAAATAGATATGCACAAGGAGACACTGGTTCAGGTAGAAGAGAAGCTGAAGCAGGGGAGGGAGGTAGTGGTGAAGAAAAAGGAGAAGCTGGATGCTATACAGAAGGAACTGGTTCAAGCAGGTGGGACTCTGGCTAGAAACCAGGAGAAAGTGGCCCAGAAAAAAATGCAATTATCTGTGGCAAAGAAGGCAGTGCTCCAAGGAAGGAAAATGCTCAGAGATGAGCTGGATGTGGCTAAGGAAGAAAAGGCATTGGACATGGAAATGGAGAGGCTGGCCCAAAAGAAGATGAGATTGGACAAGGAGCTAGAAATTCTCTCCAAGGGACGGACTCAAGAAAGCCCAGAAAAACCAAAACTGACTAAACAAGAAATAGACCTAATGAAGAAGAGATTGTCACTACAGGAGAAGATATTAAGATATAAATATAGGATTCTGGCCACAGAGGAAAAAGATATTGCCAAAGGAAAACTGGAATTTACTAGTGGACAGAGGGCATATGCAAAAGAAGAGAGGAAGTTAGCTAAAATTATAAGGAAATTGGTTAAAGAGGAGGAGGACATTTTTACAGAGCCAACAAAAATGAGCAGTGTTACAAAGGTACTTCAAAAACTAATCAGTGATGAAAGGAAAATAACCCAGGAAGAAATAAAGATGACAAAGATGAAGCGGTCACTCATTGTCAAAGAGAGCAGACTGAGCAAGGAACAGAGCAGACTTGATATCAAAGAGTTGGATATTACTGAGCAAGAATCAGAATTGGCCACAGAAGAAGAGCAACTGGCTAAGCAGCAGAGAAAATTGGCCAAGAAAATGAGAAATATTACAAAGCAAGAAGAAAAAATGGCTGAGGAAGAAAGTAGATTGGCCAAGGAACAGAGAGAAGTCATACAAGCTATAGAAGAAGAAGAAAAAATAGAGGAAGAGAAAATCCCGTTTCTTAAAAGGAGGTGGAGAAAAAGAGAAAAGTCAAAAGAAATTGATACTCTAAAGGGAAAGTTCTACAGAGAAGTGGATGAGACGGAAAGTGAAGAGAGCATTTCTAAGGACATAGAAAGCCTGCTAGAAGAGGTAGAGCAAGAGAGTTTGTCTGATGAGGAGGAGAAGGAAGAAGAGGAGGAAGAGGAAGAGGAGGGGGAGAAAAAGGGGGAGGAAGAGGAGGAAGAGGAGGAAGAGGAAGAAGAGGAAGAAGAGATGGAAATGGAGGAAGAGGAAGAGGAAGAGGAAAAGAAGGCAGAGAGGGGGAAAAAGAAGGAAGAGAAGAGGAAGGAAAAGGAAGAGAAGAGGAAGACAAAAAAGAAAGTGGAAGAGGAGGATGAAGGTTCCAAGGAAGAGGAAGAAAGCATGAGTGAGGAGGAGCTGGAAAGTTCAAGTGAGACAGAAGAGGAGAGAAGTTCAGTAGAACTGGGCAAGGAAGAAGGCATCTTAAAAAAAGAAAAACTATTTCAGCTACAGGAAGAAAGAAGAAAGGACCTACAAAGAAGGAAAATGGTCCCTTTTATTGGAGAAAGACCCATTGGGGTCAAAGGCAGTGGTATAAAACTGGGAGTTCTAAAAGTCCCTTCCAGACAACCAATCTCAGTACATGTGGGTATGGGAGGGAAGATACAAATGCCACTGCCAGTTACACAAACATTCTTGGAAGAAAAAACCACAGCACTCCAGATATGGAGTATATCCTCAAAGGTACAGTTGAAGGATAAAGAAAGAGAACTGTTTGAAAAATGGAAAGACATGCCTCTACCCGTGCTGGATACAATTTCAGTGTCCCAAGAGCAGGACATGAAGACACCATTCATGTCCGGCATATTCAGGAAAACCATGGAGGCTCGCAAACTCAAACACAGACTCCCAGATGCCAGGTGGAAGTGGCTTTTGCAGCAGCATCCATCTCTGATAGGATACAGTAAGATACAACCCCCTGTTGCCCGGATCCTGGATGACAAACAACATCTAGAGGTACAGGTAAGCCTCTCAGACACGGAGTGGATCCACCAGGTCCTAGAACAGATGGAAGCAGGGGAACAGCTTTCCAGAGACAGCTTCCACAGATTGTGTCAGCTCCTCAAAGACTTGACTTCAGAGGGAAACTTAGAGTGGCTACGTCCAGCCACACTCAGAACCATTGTGCACCATCACTTGCAGGCTCTGCAGTCACAAAGCACAAGGGCCACGCAGCCCAGCAGGGAATTCATGACTCTGAAACACCGGAAAGTGATTCCTCCTATAAAAGGAAAGGAAAAGGAAAGTTGGCTAAAATCTTTGACTGTTCCCACACCAAAGTTCCCATTAGCTGCCCAGATGATTACAGACCCAAAGGCTACAAACTGGCATCTTCTAGGTGAGCCTTACATGAGTGCACAGATACAGCAGTTATCCAATGCTGTCAAAGAAATGGAGATACGACATTTTTATCCTGTCAGAAGAGACCTTTTCACAGGTGCCCATGCCTCTGTGGACAAACAAACCCTGGCACTAATGTTTCAGAAGGACCTTAGGGCTTTTAAGGGTAAAGACAGGTTTCCTAAATTGTCCAAGTTGCAGAAGAAACAGCCTATCTCACAAAAGAAGGAAAAGGTACCTCCATGGGAGACATTTGTGGTACTGTACCATGTTTTGCGGACGCTGCAACAGCGATATGCTAAAGACACTGCTGCTTGGATGGAACAGTTCCATCAGCTCATGGACTTGTACCAGCTCAAGTCCCCCAGAATCCAGAGGCTGCTACAAGATCTGCTACTGACAGAGGAAACTCAGCCTGAACAGATCATCTATAAAGAGGCCCTGCCACCCACAGAGCTAGTACCTGGGGAACGGGTGTTCTACTGCCTGGTTTGTGGTGGCTCTCATACCCCAAGCACTCTGGGGTTCCAGGATGTGGTAGCCCTTCCTGGACAGAATAAGGTGCACACCTTCCTTCCTGTAGGTATTGCCAAATACGGAATCTTAGAACTTGCCTGGAAGAGCCTGCCCCAAGCTGATACTTGCCTCACCAAGGAATTTCCCCACATCATTGCCACCACTCCCAAATTTGGGACTGGCTAGAGGTCAAAACTTTTCATTCTCAACTGGAGAAAGCTCTGCTCATCAGAATCTAGATCTTCATCTCTAGGGGCCAGATCAAAGCCCCTTTTCTACCCAGCTCTGGAAACCTGTTTCTGTATGTGAATAAAAGGGAGGTTCTTTTTTTGCAACAAGTACTTTGATGTGTTCCTTTTCCCCAAAATTTATATTTTTAGGAAGGTCACCAGAGATACATACTTCTGTGAGTATGAAAATATCCCAGCAGCCAGTGGTATTCACTCTATGAAGCTCCTGAAGGGTCTGTCCTTGTCCTCGTCCTTCCTTGTCCTCTACCATCCCTGTCCTGAAAACAACAGGAAGGAAAGCAACTGTCACAAAACTAATGTATATACACATTAATATAAGTGGTGGAATGGATTTAAGAATCAGAAGGCCTAACATTTGCATTTTAGTATTTGGAGGCACAATGTGGGGATTGACTAATTCCCTGATCATAGCCTTCTTTTCCTTCCATTACAGGAGTCAGTCTAAAGTCAGGGTACAGTGGCTTCACTGGTACAAACAAAATCCAATGAATTGTTCGTTGTGATCCCAGAGTCAAAAAGAATATGTATGACCATTCAGTGAGCCTCAGAAACTAGGTACTTGCTGTGACAATCCAAGTCTACACACCACATTTGATTACTATGCTTTGTAGCTAAGACACTTTTATTCTGGAATAAATACACTCTTCTATCTTTATCCCTACTTTTCACACCATGCGTTAAGGATATAGAATTAGTCATCTTTCTCCATGTTATGGATTTTTCTGATAAAGCATAGTTTCATAAACTAGTGTCAAAGAGGTACTTCCAGGGTCTATGAGGTTCCTGAAATTAAATGAAAAAATTGTTAGTGTGTGCCAGGTACTTTTTCTTTCTTGCTGGGTAAAAGTCTGTAGCATTCATCAGATTCTTAAAAGGGCACTTGACACAATATGTTAAATCACAACTTAAAGAGCATAGCCATCTTGGCTTTAGTATAGGCACTGCCAATAATCAGCTGAACGAACTTCAACAATTATCTTCCCCTTGTTAGCCCTTTGTTATTCAGTTTTCAGAGACAGAGCCAGCCAGCCAGCCAGCCAGACAGACAGACAGACTTCAAACCTCTCCAGGATGCTAAAAAGGGTTACCAACCTCCCATTCCTCTCCCAGTGTGTGTGCTCAAGATATCATAACAGATTTTTCCTACTATGCACAGCTACCAACTGCTCTAAACCAGGATATGAGTAATATGGAGTTGACCTTGCTTAAGACTTCAAAGGATTTTACATTCCTGGAAGAATAGTATGTGCTCGCACCAAGGTGAATGACTACATAGAGCTTGGGAAATGATTTGTCAGCACATGCAAACTTCTAAATGACCTTGCTCTGAGGACTGAGCACTGGGGCACTAATAAGTATTGGAAAAAGGAGCCATAAAAGTGAACTGTCAAATAGACGGAGGAGCAGCAGCCAGGAAGGTAAGAGGAGAATCTTGTAAGAGTGGTGTCCAGCAGGGTTCCTCCAGACTGATGGCAGAGAAGCGTTGCGTGGGGTTTCTCTCCTCTTGCATGGCTCACTGTTGCTCCAGTGATGTTGGGATATGGGGGGCATAGCTTGTCCCTTCCTGAGCAGCTCACTGAAGCTCCCGATGCTCACTGAAGCTCAGCCATTTATGACAAACCAACAGCCAACATCATATTAAAGGAACAAAAATTGAAAGCTTTCACTTTAAAATCAGGAACAAGACAAGGATGTCCACTATCACTACTCCTATTTAATATAGTGCTAGAAACACTAGCCAGAGCAATTAGACAAGAGAGAGAAATAAAAGAAATAAGGATAGGAGAGGAAGAAGAGGAATTACAATTATTCACAGATGACATGATACTCTATACAGAAGACCTAAAAACTCCACAGAAAGACTTCTAGATTTAATGACCAAATTCAGTAGCCTAGCTGGATACAAACTCAACACTCAAAAATCAGTAGCATTCCTGTACACAAACAACAAACTCATGGAGCAATTAGGAAAACCACACACTTCACAATAGCATACAAGAAAATGAAGTACTTAGGAATCAATCTAATGAAGTAATTTATCTATACAGTGAAAATTACAGGACTCTGAAAAAAGAGATCAAAGAGGATTTCAGAAAATGGAAAGATATTCCTTGCTCATGGATAGAAAATGTATATTGTGAAAATGGTCATATTCCCAAAACTTATGCAGATTCAATGCAATCCTGATCAAAATACCATTAGTATACCTCACAGATCTAGAGAAAATATTCCTAAAATT